TTTTCATGAGGGGTGGTGAGGGCTTTGGGTTTTGGAAAAAAATTTTTTCTGAGGTTTAAAATGCAGAACTAAAAAAAGGGTAAAACCAACCCCAGTTGAGGGCCCAATCCCGTGCAGAGAAACAAGGGTAGTTTTGAGGGAGGTTTTTCCTACTATTTATGGGATTTAATTTTGCACAGGGGTGTGATGAAAAACTTTTAAATCTTTAGAGCCTCACTGTTTAAATGAGGAGGAAACTTTAAGTTTAAATAAATGCTTTTAAATTTTAGGAAAAGGGTTTTCTCATGAAGAAGGGGGACCTTCGGTTTTCGGGAAACCCTAGGGAAAGGGGAAACCAATTTTTTGTCACCAGGCGGGGGGGCCTGAGCCCCTTTTAGAAAACCCGTTCTTACTTAGTGCCTTAAAACCTTAGGTGGACACCCAGGGATTTTTAAAACAGTATCCAGGGGTTTTCCCGGGAAATTCTTTGGCCCCGCTGTGGGAGAAAGGGGGGAGATTATATAAAGGGCCCCGTTTAAGCCGCAAATTATAGGGGGAAAAATAATAAAAACATTAAACCTTTCCCCCCTTTAGCCAATTTTCAGCACCCGGTGAAAACCCCTTTAGCAAACTGGTTTGTGGGTGTCGTTTTGGGCCCCCTCCCAAAGGGCCAAAATGGGAAAAAAATTAATTTTCTAAAAAAATAATTTGCTTTCCCCAAACCCGGGGACCCAGAAGCAAAACCCTCTAAGCAAGATAACAGTCGAGTGGTCCTTAAGGGCTTTGATGAAATTCTTTTTCCCCTGTTTGGGTTTCCTTTGGGAGGGACCCAAACGATCAAGGGGTTTAAATTTCCCCCGAAAATTTTTTTAGGATGTTTAAAGGGGTTAGATTTTTCGCCCAAAAATTTTTAACCGCCTATCACCCTCAGTCTCAGGGAGTGGTAGAAGATTTTCAAACAAACCTTAAGACAAAGAAGGGGAGCTTATTTTATGGGAAAAACACTAGTGAAGGGGAGGGTATCCCCTTTTTCTTTTTTGGGCCCTGCGGGAAAGCACCCAAGAATCCTCGTTTCAGCCCTTTCGAGCTGTCATGGGGCATCCAGTGAGGGGAAACCCCTGACCCATTTTCCCGGAGCCCTTGGGGTGGGTGGGTGAAAAAAAAGAGGCTTCCCGCCCCGGAAAATGTTTTTTTTTTTTCAGGAAAAGTTTTGGGCCAGGCGGAAAAGATTGGGAGCAGACCAAAACCCCAAAGTAGTCAGAGGGCCATGAACAAACGGTTTCGACCAAAAGGCAGCCCCCCTTTCCCTTTAGGTTGGGGGAGGAAGTGTTTAGCTTTTTTGGGGCCGGGTTCCGGGGCAGCCTTGGGGTGCCGATTTATGGACCCTTTGTCCCTCACAGGAGGTCGGCCCCAATTAAAGTAATTTTAAGATGCCCGGCCCCTTTGCAAATCAGAAAGGACTGTGCACATTTAAAAAGGTTGAAGAAATACCCTTCTAGGGCAGGAGTTGCCGTTTTTCAAGTTGAGTATGACGATTTCGAAAAACTTCCTGTAACAACCCGAAGTAAGGCCCGTGCAATTTTTACCCTCTTGCAAATCCCTTGGGGACACAAGAAGGGACCCCGTGTACAGGGGGCCTGTGACTTGGTTCAGTTACTCCAAAAAATTTTCCCGAAATTTGGTTTTTGGGGGTGTACCCAAATTTAAATAAATTTTCCTCCCCAGATGTGGATGTCGGGGGAAACGTTCCAATAAAATAGGCCCCCTTCCGCAGAAAACCCCAACCCAAAAAACTTTACATGGGGGGAAAAAAGGGGAAATTCCCCCTTCCCAAAAACCCTTTGTAGTGCCCAGCGAGAGTCAAATGGGCATCTCCATGCCTGAAAGGTTCCCCCAAAACCCAAGGTTTTATGGTATGTTCACGAAAACGCAAAGTAAATGAAGTAACCCAAGGCTGACTGTTAAACCCCCTTTGCCGAAAGGATGTTGATTGATGCCCGTGGGGGGGCAAAGGGTTTTTGAGCAAACTGGACTTTCTTAAAGGGTATTTCAGATACCCCTCACCCAAGGGGAGCCCAAGGGAAAATTTTAGCCTTCGTCACTCCCGTGGGTTTTTTCAAAATAATGTTTTTCCTTTTTGGGTTTTTTAAAAAAGCTCCCGCCACCTTCCAGCGTCCCCTATAAAAAATGTCATAAGGGGGTTGGGGTGGTGGCGGGCCTATCTAGATGATAAATTTTGGTATTCAAATTTAAACCCGTGGGGAAAATCACTGGTAAAATTGCAAAAAATGTTTTAATGTCCATCCCCCAAGGCCCAAATTTAAACCCCCAAAATTAGCAAAAGTGAAATTTGGGGCCCAAACCCCCCGTTTCAATTTCCCTTTGATATTTTAGTTGGTCGGGGAGAAGTTGCCCCAATTAAAGCAAAAGGGGGGAGGGCCCCTTTTAAAATTTTTTTAGACCAAAAAAATCGGAAGGAAATGATGAAGTTTTCCCGGGGATGGGTGGGGGTTTTTACAGACGATTCTGGCCCCCAAACCCCTCCCAGGTAACGTCCCCCACTGAAACTTTGGGCCCGTTCCCCAAAGTTTTAATTCAAATGGGGGCAGCAAGTTTTGGGCAGGGTTTTGAAAATGTGAAAAAAGTTATTAGGAATGCTCCCCCTCTTGAAAAGTCCCGAGTTTTAATGCCCCCTTTTCTCTAAAAAGTGGTGTTGTATGTAGGGGTAGGTGCAGTGTTTTTGCAGGGTGATGGAAAAAGATAGCCCTTTAGCCCCCTTTTTTACCATTCCGCCAAAATTTTAAAAAAAACATTAACCCTGGTTTTGCAACTGTAGAGGAAAAAGGCTTTGGCTTTGGTGGGTTTGGGTTTTGGGAGAAATTTTTAAGTTTATATCCCTGCTTCCCCCCACCCCTGTAAAGTGTAAAAGTACCATAACCCCCCTTTTGGGGTTTTTTAAAAAAATGAGAAAACCCCAATCAAAGATTCTTAAATGGGGTTTTTTCCTACAGCCTTTTAAAATTTTGGAAATTTAAATTTTAAAAAAAAGGCCAGAGAATGTGGTTGCCCGTGCTCTCCCCTAGAAGTTTCTGTAATGCATTTGGGGCTAATTTGAACAAAAGTGTTTGTTAGTGCTGAACCTTGTTGTTTTTTGGGAGTGGTGAAAATCTCGGGGAGCCTTTAGTAAAAACCCCTACCAGCCATCTGACTTTGAAGGAAATGATTTAGAAACCAAAGGTTGGGGACGAGGGGCAGGGTTTTAAGTAAATTTGAGTTAAAGGGGAGTAGTTGACAAAACCCTTTGGGAAAAGAGGTTTAGGAAGGTACGTGTGTTGTTTTTCTTTGGGGTGCTCTATATACAAAACGGCCCCCCGGGTTTTCCTTTGGGGGTTCCCCCGGACCCCTCCAAATTCTATGTCAGCCTCCTCTTTTATAAGTTTGGAGGATCTGTGTGGAAAAAATGGGACCTCGGGAAAAAAAGGCTTTAAAAAGGCCTGACCATGGTTAAAAGGGTCGTTTAGGTTGAAATGGAAGTCCCCCACGTTTGGTTCGGCCAACCCAAATGAGGGGAACCTTGACCCTTTTTTTGGAAGTTCCCGCCTGGTGTACCCTGACTGCTCTGGGTTTGGCTCTTAAATCTCCCCTCTCCGTCAGGAAATGCCAAACCCCGGAGTACCAGTTTTTTGTGGATTACTTTTAGCAGAGGCACAGGGGCCCGTTGGTGGGGGGCCCCTTTTACAGAGGGAAATTTTGGGGCAAAAATTTTTCAATTTTAATGTGTATTGTTTAAAAATCAATTTTAAAAATTTTAAATTTGTTACCCCCCTTTAGTAAATGGGTAAGGTTTAAAAAAACTTTTTTTAAAAAATTCGCAATCTGTTGAAAATAACAGTTAAAATTTAGGAGTAGTTTTTGGGGTAGGAAAAAATGTAGCATTTTTAGTAAACCCTTTTTTACCGCCTTCAGACTTTTAAGGGAATTTTACTTTTTACTAGCCGAACCCGAAAGGGGCACGGGTTGCTTTTGGGGAGACTTCGTTGGGGGTGGGGGTGTTATGGGGATATTGGACCCAAAAATTTTATTTTTAAGTAACAGTTACTATAATAAAACCTTTAAAATATTTAAAATTTAAGGGGGCTTTGTCTAAAAAGCAAAAGGAAAAAAAACCCCCCGATCAACCTTTGGGCTGAGAGGCGTGGGTTTAAAACCTTTTTTTCTCAATAAAATAGGTTAAAAATATAGACACCCTAAAAAAAACAAATTTTTTAAAAAAGTATTTTTTAAATTGTTTTTTTTTTGTTAAAAAATTTAAAAATTTAAAGGGGTGGTAAAAATTGTGGGAAAGGAGAAGTTGTTGGCAAAAAGTCTTGTTTGGGGGGGGAGGGCTTGGTGGGGTTCCCCCTCTCTCTCCCACTTTGACTCTCTCTCTCTGTGGCGAAACCTTTAAAACCTTTGGCCCGGATCTCCCGGGGGCCTTCTCCAAACTTTTTTGGGGGATCATTTTTTGGTCCAGGGGGGGAGTTTTTTTAATTTAAATTTTTGGGCCCCCCTACCCAGGGGGACTAAAGTGTGTCAAAAAAAAACCCGGTTAGCCCAGGGTTTTTGTTTAGGGAAAAGTTTAAGGGCAAGAGTTGTTGCAACAAACCATGTGGAGCCCAGGAAAGGAGTGTGTAGATTTTGTTTTGAAAATGGAGGCTGTGATTGTATATTCTATACATATCTATTGAGAATACAGTTATATTTTTATAGTAGTAGTTTACATAACTTGTAAAGAGGGCTGGTGAAAGGGTATCAGAGACACTCAAGATGATCAGCCATGATGTAAGTATTACCCCTAGACAAATAAGGCCATTAAGTAAAAGCTACCCCACACTAGAACATGTAGTGAGAACCTTACTATCAAAGTAATAAGGGACAAACCAACGTAACATATCACAAGCAAGTGTCAGCAGTGTATTGTGAGCAGGCAATATGTTGTGTGTTTATCTCAGATAATATATGTCAGCAGAGACCAGACTCACCACAGCTATCAGCAGCAGCTGCCAACACCTGCTTATCTTCATGGGCTCGTCTGGAAACAAAACATGAAACTATGTTAAAAACATCAAACTCTTCCCTTCATTAGCTTTATTTACTGTCTCACAGTTTTTATTATTTTATTTGTAAGACAGTTGATGACAAGCCCAGTAGAGAATACCAGGAACAAGTGCACATGTGTCAATATATTGTGCCGTTATATTATTAGTTTTTTTTATTTATTTTTGTTATAATGAATGATGTTTGTTTCCTAAATCAAACTTAGGAAATGAAAGTATTTAGTGGACGGTGGCTGACGTGTGTGGTTAATATACCTTCCTCTCTGTTGTGACTTTGTTGTACGACTCTCCCGCTGACGTGACACTAGTACTGTCAGGGCAGTGCCACAGGCTGTGTATCAAGACAGTTCCGCTAATGATGTGCCAACGCAGTGCCACTGGCCGGGTTATATACTTAAGGGTGGTGACGTTTTGGTATGGGAAGAGAAGTGCGGTGCCCAGCACTATCTGGCGTGTTTTTCCCACCAACACCTCAGGTTATTTCCGGGTCTGATAGCAGCAAGCAATAATTGCGTAAGAGAAAAAAATACCTTGTGAGCAGATGCCGCTGACAGGAGTCCAGTGAAACATCTACAGTGATCCATCTCAGCTCAGATCTCTTATTCTGGCCAATGGCGGATCTACATTTCTGGGCCCTGAAACTTGAACTGTTATGGGGGCCCCGTCGCAACCAGTTTTCATACAATACACCCAAAATTTTTAACGTGGACTAAAGTCGCTTCTGGGGTCCCTCCGGGATTACGGATCCTGAGGCCTAAGATTTATTTATTTCTTAGCATATCCGCCCCTCATTCTGGCTCTTGTCGCTCGCAAATAAGAAATATTTATTTAAAAACCTCCTGCTGACACTGCTAAGATAATTGTTGACTTTAAACAAGTTAGAAGACTGAGCTACAGATGAGGACGACCCTCGTAATATAAGTGTCCCGATTGCGCATTATAATAACAATAATAATAATGCTATTAATGATAATTAGGAGAGGAGAGAGAGAGACAAAGTCATTGGCCTAAGATAACACTGACCTGTATCTACATAAATACTAGGACTCCTGAGAGGAGGAAAGACGGAATATGGCACTGAAGAAAGAAGTTAAGTTTTACCCAGTTGCTCTCCCTGGTGATGCTGATGACCCTGGTGATGCTGGTGACCCTGGTGATGCTGGTGACCCTGGTGATGCTGGTGACCCTGGTGATGCTGATGACCCTGGTGATGCTGGTGACCCTGGTGATGCTGGTGACCCTGGTGATGCTGGTGACCCTGGTGATGCTGATGACCCTGGTGATGCTGGTGACCCTGGTGATGCTGGTGACCCTGGTGATGCTGGTGACCCTAGAGATGCTGGTGACCCTGGTGATGCTGGTGACCCTGGTGATGCTGGTGATCATGGTGATGCTGGTGACCCTGGTGACCTTGGTGATGCTGGTGACCCTGGTGATGCTGATGACCATGGTGATGCTGGTGACCATGGTGACCCTGGTGAGGCTGGTGGCCCTGGCGAGGCTGGTGGACTGGCGAGGCTGGTTGCCCTGGCGAGGCTGGTGGCCCAGGCGAGGCTGGTGGCCCTGGGGAGGCTGATAGCCTGGAGAGGCTGGTGGCCCTGGCGAGGCTGGTGGCCCTGGAGAGGCTGGTGGCCCTGCAGAGGCTGGTGGCCCTGGCAAGGCTAGTGGCCCTAGCGAGGCTGGTGGCCCTGGCGAGGCTGGTGGCCCAGGCGAGGCTGATGGCCCTGGAGAGGCTGGAGGCCTTGGTGAGGCTGGCGGCCCTGGCGAATCTGGTGGCCCTGACAAGGCTGGTGACCCTGATGAGGCTGGTGGCCCTGATGAGGCTGGTGGCCCTGGTAAGGCTGGTGATCCTGGCGAGGGGTGGTGGCCCTGGTGATGCTGGTGCCCTGGCGAGGCTGGTGGCCCTGGCGAGGCTGGTGGCCCTTGCGAAGCTGATGGCCCTTGCGAGGATGGTGGCCTGGCGAAACTGGTGGCCCTACCGAGGCTAGTGGCCCTGGCGAAGATGGTGTCCCAGGCGAGGCTGGTGGCCCTGGTGAGACTGGTGGCCCTGGTGAAGCTGGTGGGCCCTGGTGAGGCTGGTGGCCCTGGCGAGGCTGGTGGGCCCGGGCAAGACCGGTGGCCCTGGCGAGGCTAGTAGCCCTGGTGAGGCTGGTGGCCCTGGTTTAGCTGGTGGCCCTGGCAAGGCTGGTGGCCCTGGCAAGGTTGGTGGCCCTGACGAGGCAGGTGGCCCAGGCGAGGCTGGTGGCCCTGGCGAGGCTGGTGGCCCTGGTGAGACTGATGGCCCTGGTGAGGGTGGCGGCCCTGGTGAGGCTGGTGGCCTTGATGAGGCTGGTGGCTCTGGTATGGCTGGTGGTCCTGGCGAGGCTGGTTGCCCTGGTGATGCTGGTGGCCCTGGCGAGGCTGGTGGCCCTTGTGAGGCTGGAGGCCTTGATGAGGCTGGCGGCCCCCGGTGAGGCTGGTGGCCCTGGTGAGGCTGGTGGCCCTAGCGGGGCTGGTGGCCCTGGCGAGGCTGGTGGTCCTTGCGAGGATGATGGCCCTTGCGAGGATGGTGGCCTGGCGAAACTGGTGGCCCTAGCGAGGCTGGTGGCCCTGGCGAAGATGGTGGCCCTGGCGAGGCTGGTGGCCCTGGTGAGGCTGGAGGCACTGGGGAGGCTGATGGCCCTGGCGAGGCTAGTGCCCCTGACGAGGCTGGTGGCCCTGGAGAGGCTGGTGGCCTGGCGAGACTGGTGACCCTGGCGAGGCTGGTGGCCCTGGCGAGGCTCGTGGCCCTGGTGAGACTGATGGCCCTGGTGAGGCTGGCGGCCCTGGCGAGGCTGGTGGCCCTGGCGAAGCTGATGGCCCTGGCGAGGCTGGCCGCCCTGGTGAGGCTGGTGGCCATGGTAAGGCTGGTGGCCCTAGCGAGGCTGGTGGCCCTGGTGACGCTGGTGGCCCTGGCGAGGCTGGTGACCCTGGTGAGGCTGGCGGCCCTGGTGAGGCTGGTGGCCCTGGTGAGGTGGTGGCCCTGGCGAGGCTGGTGGCCCTGGTGAGGCTGGTGGCCCTGGCGAGGCTGGTGGCCCTGGTGAAGCTGGTGGCCCTGGTGAGGCTGGTGGCCCTGGCGAGGCTGGTGGCCCGGGCAAGGCCGGTGGCCCTGGCGAGGCTGGTGGCCCTGGTGAGGCTGGTGGCCCTGGCAAGGCTGGTGGCTCTGCGAGGCTGGTGGCCCTGGTGAAGCTGATAATCCTAATGAGGCTGATGACCCTGGTGAGGCTGGTGGCTCTGGCAAGGCTGGTGGCCCTGGCGAGGCTGGTGGCCCTGGTGAGACTGAAGGCCCTGGAGAGGCTGGCGGCCCTGGCGAGGCTTTTGGCCCTGGCGGAGCTGGTGGCCCGGCGAGGCTGGTCGCCCTGGTGAGGCTGGTGGCCCTGGTAAGGCTGGTGGCCCTAGCGAGGCTGGTGGCCCTGGTGAGGCTGGTGGCCTTGGCGAGGCTGGTGGCCCTGGAGAGGCTGGTGGCCCTGGCGAGGCTGGTGGCCATGCTGAGGCTGGTGGCCCTGGTGAGGCTGGTGGCCCTGGTGAGGCTGGTGGCCCGGGCGAGGCTGGTGGCCCGGGCAAGGCCGGTGGCCCAGGCGAGGCTGGTGGCCCTGGTGAGGCTGGTGGCCCTGGCGTGGCTGGTGGCCCTGGCGAAGCTGGTGGCCCTGGCGAGGCTAGTGGCCCTGGCGAGGCTGGTGGCCCTAGTGAGGCTGATAACCCTAATGAGGCTGATGACCCTGGTGAGGCTGGTGGCCCTGGCGAGGCTGGTGGCCCTGGCGAGGCTGGTGGCCCTGGCGAGGTTGATGACCCAAATGAGGCTGATGACCCTGGTGAGGGTGATGACTCTGGTGAGGCTGATGACCCTGGTGAGGGTGATGACCCTAATGAGGCTGATGACACTAATGAGGCTGATGACCCTGGTGAGGGTGATGACTCTGGTGAGGGTGATGACTCTGGTGAGGCTGATGACCCTGGTGAGGGTGATGACCCTAATGAGGCTGATGACCCTAATGAGGCTGATGACCCTGGTGAGGGTGATGACTCTGGTGAGGGTGATGACTCTGGTGAAGCTGATGACTCTGGTGAGGGTGATGAGCCTAATGAGGCTGATGACCCGGTGAGGGTGATGACTCTGGTGAGGGTGATGACCCTGGTGAGGGTGATGACTCTGGTGAGGGTGATGACTCTGGTGAGGGTGATGACCCTGGCGAGGCTGATGACCCTAATGAGGCTTATGACCCTAATGAGGCTGATGACCCTGGTGAGGGTGATGACTCTGGTGAGGGTGATGACTTTGGTAAGGCTGATGACCCTGGTGAGGGTGATGACCCTGGAGAGGCTGATGACCCTGGTGAGGCTGATGACCCTAATGAGGCTGATGACCCTAATGAGGCTGATGACCCTGGTGAGGGTGATGACTCTGGTGAGGGTGATGACTTTGGTAAGGCTGATGACCCTGGTGAGGGTGATGACCCTGGAGAGGCTGATGACCCTGGTGAGGGTGATGACCCTGGTGAGGGTGATGACCCTGGTGAGGGTGATGACCCTGGTGAGGGTGATGACTCTGGTGAGGGTGATGACTCTGTCGAGGGTGATGACCCTGGTGAGGGTGATGACCCTGGTGAGGGTGATGACTCTGGTGAGGGTGATGACCCTGGTGAGGGTGATGACTCTGGTGAGGGTGATGACTCTGGTGAGGGTGATGACCCTGGTGAGGGTGATGACCCTGATGAGGGTGATGACCCTGGTGAGGATGATGACCCTGGTAAGGCTGGTGGTCCTGGCGAGGCTGGTGGCCCTGGCGAGGCTGGTGGCCCTGGTGAGGCTGGTGGCCCTGGGGAGGCTGGTGGCCCTGGCGAGGCTGGTGGCCCTTGCGAAGCTGATGGCCCTTGCGAGGATGGTGGCCTGGCGAAACTGGTGGCCCTAGCGAGGCTGGTTGCCCTGGCGAAGATGGTGGCCCTG